CAGCAGACCTCTCCTGTCTCCCCGCTGCTCCCCTCAGCAGTGGGTTTCAGTCGATGTGACTGTTCTGCTGCCCACTCTGTCTCTGGTGAATCCTCTCACCCCCCCCCACGCCTCTGGCCTGCACCCCAGCTCTTGTGTGCATAAATAAATGTTTTTTTAAAAAGAAATCAACCCCTGTGGGGACGTGAGATGCCATACATTCTCCCCTCCACACAAGTGGTCTTTTTCTTCAGGGGTGGTGTCTTTCAGGTACACAACCACTTAGACCTACCCTTGGGAGTGTATTTGGGTACACCCCTTGGGAGAAGGGGTGTATTCGTCCCTTTCATTATTGCTTCATTGAAGACCATGGCGTCCTTGTGTCCGTGCTGAGTGGGTGGCTGCGGTGTTGATGCAGGGTGCTGAGATCCCTAGCGTTACTCCCCAAGACTTGGTTGGTTGGTTGGGTGGTTGGTTGATTTTCTGGGCCAGATGGCCTTCAGCCTGCTCTTCTGGGACCCTGTGTTACTGCGTCTGCTATCAGATGGTTCATTTACCTATTTTAGGTGTGTCAGAATGGAGCAGAGCTAAACCTCGATACCTTTTCCTCTTGGTCATTATTCCAGCCCCTATTCCTTCCAGCAGGGCCTCTGCCCTCTCCTTTCTCTCCGCCTTCTGAAACACCCGTGACCGTTGCGTTTTCTGCGCTAGGGCGCCTGCTGTTTCTCATGGAGTTCCTTTCTTTTTCTGAAATCTTATTTCTCTGCCTGGGTCATGTACATGTTTGTACTTTCTGTTTCTGAAATGCTTCCTGCTGCTGGTGTACATGTGGGTCTTGACCCCTGAAGGCCCAAGCCCGAGCTGGTGTTGGCATCAGGGATGGAGAAGGTGGAGGGGGTTGAGCATGGAGCTGGAGTTTGGAGAACGGGCTCTGGGCTCTGGGCGGGGCTGGGAGTGGGGGTGCCTCAGACGGGGGTTCTCTATGGGAATGAGGACGTGCTTGCGGTCAGAGCTTGCGGTCAGGGTGGGGTGGTGGTGGTGTCTTGAGCGGGGAGAATACAGTAGCTGACGTGGGGTGCGGACGCTGCCAGGCGTGGAGCTGAAGTTGGCCGCAGGACAGGGGCAGAAAGAGCGAAGGTTGGGGTGGGGTGGGTGGGGGCAGGCTGTGCACAGAAGGGGCTGAGCACGGGAGAAAAGCCAAGGAGTGTGCGGGGGGGGGGGGGGCGTGGCGGGGGCTGGGCGCCCGACGCGACGGGGGTGCGGGTGGCCCCAGAACTCGGTTCTTTCCCAGCGGACCTCGTCTTTTCCTGGGAGGAAGACCGCAAGTTCATCCTGCGGGGCTGGTCTCTGGTCTTCAGCGCGCTGGCCACCCTGATGAGCCTCAGTGTGCTGGACGGGCGGATGGCCTACCTCGAGGCCCCCTACACGGGCTACGTGGGCATCCACAGCAACTGCAGGAAGCACCAGTGCTCCAACCTGGGCAGGGTCACTGGTGAGTGGGGCCGGTGTGGACGGTGGGCGCTTCGGGGGCGGGAGTCGTCTCTGGAGGTCATCGGGGCGGTGAGTCTGCGGGACCTCGGGCGTTGGAGGCAGGGCAGCGGTCACAGTGGACTTCTCTAGAGGTCTCAGGCCGGAGGAGTCTCCTGAGCGTCTGCTGTGGATGCCCAGGGAGCCCACGTGGGGGCCTCCAGATAGGCCACCGGGGAAGGTGGGGCATGGGGTCCTCTCTCCTCCGCAGCCGGTGCCCCCTGCCCCCACTCATCAATACTGGTCAGCCAGCAGCAGAGCAGCCGGGAGAGGGCGCTGGGGAAAGCAGGGTGGGTGCCCTGAGAGCAGACAGAGGAAGGGCCGGCAGACTGCCGGCAACTCAAGCTGCCACTCTGGCAAGAGGTGTGCCAGGTTCCTTGTGGCTGAGTTATAGGGGTATCCCAAACGGGATGTGCCTAGAGCACTGCAATGTGCTGATTGACTCTCAACTGGGGCCGAGTGTGGGGCTGTGGGGTGCAGGCAGGAGGGAAAATGCATGCTGGGGTGAGCTGCCAGTGTCTACTTCTGACCCACCCAGAGAGGGTGGCCCAGACGACAAGACCCAGGGGTGCAGAGTCCTCTTAATCCCCCTTCCTTGGCAGCTTTGCTTTCCTTTCTCACTGTCAGGTCTCCTGCCGTCCTTGGGGCTGAGCCCAGGACTCAGCTCCAGGTTCATAAAGTCCTTGACTAGGGAAGAGCCCACCCCTGCCAGTTTCAGTTTGAAAAATCCCAGGGCAGAACTTGATTGGCTGGCTTTGATCATGTGCCCATCTTTGGGCCAATCAGCATGTCCTGGGGCCAGGCATACTGATTGGTCCCACCGGCATCACATGACTCCCTCTGTGCCTGCCCCTTGCACCTCCGGAGTCCCCCAGCTGTGTCAGTCTGTGTCAGGGTTGGCGCTCAAGCAGGATCTCATGATCCCTGGAGTGCACCCGTTGTGTACATGGGTGGGTTTCTGGTTTGGGGTTGGGGATGTGCAGTTTGCCAGAAGCAAAGCAGATGGAGCCTTAGCTCATTTGTACCAGGCCTGCCCTGTGCAGAGGTGGCCCAAATAGGAAAGGAACTAAAGGGCCATGACTCTCAGGAGGGGCTGAACCGGCTGTCATGGCTGAAGTGTAGATTGATAAACATTACGTTTTCAGTGGGTGTGCTAGGGTCTTGGAACATTATGTTTACAGAACTTGGATCTTTTCCTCATGCTCTGGGACATAAAGGAGGTGATTCAGAGATAGTATGTGGCGGGCTTTGGGTTGTGAATTGGGTGACTCTGAGAGATGTGTGGGGTGTTAGAGGACAAGAAGGGACCTTGGGTCATGAGTGGAAGAGGCTAGCAGAGAGAGTGACTTAGGAGACAACTGCTGACCGAAGCATCTCGGGTGACCGCAAGTCTGCCTTGGGAGTGTTGCTGAGGGTATTAGTGTGAGGGACTCAGACATGTCTTGGGAGTAGGAGCAGTGTCTGGGGGTGACTCTAGAACAGCTGGCGGTGATTCTGGGAGGTGATCTTGAGGATGTGCATGGAGATGACTTGGGCCACTTGTGGGCTGGCCTTGGGGAATGATTATTTGGGTTGCTGGTGGTGGACTTCAGGGTAAATGGGGCTGCCTTGGAGTGCCTTGTTGAGATGCCTTTATGGGTGTCTAGGGCTCACTTTGGGATGAGAGTGGGAGTCACTTTGAGGGTGAGTATAGGCAAACTTTGGGAGTTTCTGCAGGTGGCACATGGCTGTCTGGCGGGTGGGCGACTTTGGAAATGGCACGGGGCATCTCTCCCCTCCCAGTTCTCCTCCACATGAGCACCGGCTTTATGTTGCTGGCGATGGCCACGAGTCTGGTCCTGCTCCCCACCATGGGCCTCTCCTTCCACACCATGTTCCGCCGCCTTAACAGAGTGGACGCCATGTTCAGTTTCCTGAGTCTCAGCATTGGTGAGTGCCAGCTTGGGGACGGAACCGGGGCCCTCCCCAGCAACAGCCACCTCCTGGTCTCTGTGGCTCCGCTGAGTTGGATCCAGATCTCTCCCCTCCTGTTCTCCATTCCTGCTGTCCTCACTGCCTCGGAACACCCATGGCTGCCCGGCTCAGCATGTTTCTCCGACTCTGTTTCTTTTTCTCAGTGAGGGCGAGGTTGGGGGGTGTCTCTCTCTCTCCTCCCCTTTGTCCTGCACCTCTCCCCGGGGTCTGTGTGCGTGAGCTTGTCAAGGAGGGTGGGGGGGATCACCTGTCTCTTCATTTTCTCTGGGTCCCTGGGCAGACACGGGCTTATCTCTGAGCTCAACTTGCAGGTTTCCTGATTACCCTCAGTCTCATCCTCTTTGTGATCACTTGTGAGACCCTGCGCCCAAAGCCGAAGGTGCACTACATGGTGATCAGCTACTTGTGCTGGGCAGGAGCAGCCCTGATGCTGTGGTCGGGTAGGCTGGCTCTCAGGGGCCCGCATAACCTTGGCGGGGCGGGGCCCAGGAGGGGCGGAGCTTCTGGTGGGCGGGGCTAGATGGGCGTGTCCTCTGCGGAGGTGGGGGGTGGGTCAGGTCAGAGCCTGGAATTGGGTGAGAACGGGGAGGTCGGGGGAGGGGTGTAGGGAAGGGAGGAAAGGATGGGGCTGGATGTGGGTGGATTTCGGGTGTTCAACCCCTCCCCCCAGGGGCCCTGAGCTACTTAAACCACCTGGGCTTGTGGAGCAAAGGGACTTTCACCATGGACCGGCGCGTGAGCTACCGCCGATGGGTCTCGCAGCAGAACATGTCCAGGAAGAAATCCAAGTCGCGGTCGCGCATTCAATCCAAGGACTCCGACGCGCACCCCCTCTAAAGCCTCCCCCCGAAAGCGCTTTCTTTTCAAAAATATTCTTTGTCCCGCAAATCTCTCTAAGCAATTGTGCCCCAGCTCTTCAGGGAACTGACCGGTAGGTGCGCCTGGAACGCAGCCATCCCCACTCCCCAGGGTCACCAGGTCAACCCACTCACCCGGGGTTTACAGGTCAGTGACGCCCCCTAAGTCAGGCCTCGCCCCGCGATCGCCTGCACACCTTGGGGTCCGTTCGCAGTCCCAGGCGGAGATGGCGCGTTCTCATAGGACGAAACCCTACTCCCCAGTGAGGTCGTAAAGGTTTTTCAGACCACCCCAGTGCCCAGACGTTAAACAGGGGTGCTCACGGGGCGGTCGCTCGGTACTGACGGCTCACCCACTGGTCGGGGCGTTCTGCAGACTCCATGTCCTCAAGGACGTGGCTGTCCGCGCGCACGCGCACAGCGAACACGCGGAGGTGCGCACGGGTCGCGATGGCGCGGACCCTGCACCCTGCACCTGGCCTGACAGGTGGGAGGCGCAGCTGCAGGAAGCTCGGTGCAGGTGTTCACGTGGGAACACGGAGCGTTAAGACGGGTGTGCGCCATGCTTAGATGAAAATGGCAACTAGGAATTGAACACACACATACATTTTTAAATTTAATAAAAATTCAAGTCATAATCATAACAACAAAGAAACATTTAAGTTAATAAAAAATTTTAAATGTGGAGAAATTGAGAAGCAGAGGAAACACACACACACACACACACACACACACACACACAGACACACACACCCCTCTGGTCAGAGAACTCAGATCTAAACCGAGTCTTAGCAGAGGTGGCACAGGGTCGGGACCGAAAGGCGGTACCTTAGTCCTTCCTACCTTAGTAACCCACAAAGAAAGACCTCAGCTGTGCTCAGGTAGCTAAAGACAGTGAAGGAAGAGCGAGGACGTCTCCAGGGAAGGGAGGCATCAGGGCCACTGATATTCCAAGACACCCGAGTGTCCAGACATGGGACTCAACATGTTTCCCCCCACCCCCTTCCCGTCGGGTCCCCATCAGGCCCATTTGTTTGTGTCCAGCACAGTAAAGACCTGTCCAGGAACGACCTTTACCACCAGGGCAGTAAACAACGTGTCCCCAAGAGCCCGGGTGGCCGGGGCGGTGCCCCGTGTTCTCAGGAGCTGGGGGCCCCAGGGGCAGACCCCGCTCTTGGAGTCTGCGCCCCATCCTGAGCGGGGCCAATCTCCTGACCCCAGGCGCCAGGGTCCCGGGACCTGGGGAGAAGGAACTCAGTGCTGCTGCGCCCTGGGAACCCCGGGCGCAGCAGTCGGGGTCTGGCAGGGTCCCGAAAGGGGCCGAGTTCTTGTCTGTTTGCACATCAGTGACATCTTGAGTTTCCAGCTCTGGACACACAGCTGCAGCCCCTGGACAGCCGGCAGGGGGGACGACCCCAGGAGCCAGTTTCTAGGGAGAGCCTCGCAGTGTCCCCTCGTTCTGACCCTCAGGGGCCCCACCCTCCTGCTGCCAGAGAAGCCCAGCCCTGTGGGTCCCTGGCTTCCTCTGTCTCCTCCCTGTTCTCTCAGTCGCCCACACACACCCCGGCTTCCCCATCCTGAACCCCCCCCACTGCTGGAGGAGCGCTCAGGCTGACCCTCCCCTTCAGCAGGGGCTCCCCATGGGTCCCCCTTCACTTTCCAGGGTGCCATTTCCCCATCCCGCCTTCACCAGCCCAGCAGACACCCCACAGGCGGGGTGGGGGGGGGCTTTTTGGGCTGCGATTCAGTTCCGCACAGGTGAGTCTGGGGCGCTGGTGTTCCGAGCCCAGCCCCGGGGGCTACAGGAGACGAAAGTTTCCCTGGGGACTACCCCAGAACTTGCACCAGGGCCTCACTCCGTGAGCGAGAGCCCGAGGCCCTGAGCCCTGTGTCCACCACAAGGGCAACAACCAGTGAACCAGGAGGCTTTTTCAGGAAAATACCCCGAAGCCCTCGGCCTGGGGTGCCTCTGAGCTGGCGGAGGGCCCAAGGGTGACTTGGGCAACACCCCTCCACTCAGCCGAGGACCCACCCTAGCAGCAGCTCGGACCCGCCCCGTTGTCCTCCACCACTCCGCCCTTCCGGCTCTGGGCAGAAGTTAGCACAACTGGGCTGAGCTGGCACCTGCCCTGGGCGTGGCCCCGCCCCC